TTTGGTCTGGGCAGCAGATATTTCACAGGATGCCTGTGAATTCTTTCATGCAAAGTCAGTAGCTTTTATATAGCACGTCTATCTCAGGTGACTGCCGGTAATTCAGTAAAGGAGGCCCATCAGGGTAATGTGGGAATGGACAGGTACTTTAATGTAAAGATTGTCTTTCTGTGGGGGAGCATGTTTCCAGATTGGTTTTCATCTGCTGGTTGCACTTAGTAAAGATCATGTATTGTGAAATGACGAACATGCAAAATGTGAGTAAGAACTTTCAGTTACCTCTTTCAAAAATTCTAGTTAGGTGAACACAAGCACAACTCACTGGCATGATTGCCTTCTTTTTGGTGTCTATTTTGTTTGGGTCTTATTCAGTAAAACCTGTGTGTACATATGTGTGTATGTACACATGATATAAGAGAAAAGGCACAGAATAATTATTAGTAGGCACACTTGCCATTCTTTAAGGTGGGAGGAAAATGAATCAAGTGAAGACTAAAAAASATAAATGTAGCAAAATTCTATTACTGCTTTCATTATTTTTTCACTTGTTTTTTCATATTTTAAAGATGAGGGTAAATTATAGCATAGCTGGGTCTCATATTCTTGTAGACTCATTCTAATTCTAACATCCCTTTTAGGAGGTTTAGTAGTCAATCATGTCATAGGTGTGGGATGTGTATTGAACATACTCTTCTTAGGATTATGATAATTTCCACAAATAGGAGCATATGCTTGTTAAGAGTTTGAAATGACCACTCRTATTTACCAAAACTCGTTTATGAATTTGAAATCTTTTTTCCTATTAAAATTACTGGAAAATATACATCCCTAGTTCCTGAAGATCTTATAAATTCTCAACCCATATGATCACTGAGAGAAAACCATTACAGTAAACTGAAGGAAAAGAGCAAAGCAAGGAAATATTCAGTGTGTGTCTTGCTCTTAATTTTTCTAGAACTGTAACGGTTTTATATTTTCATTGAATTTCTATTTCTTTGTAATGATAAGATAAAAAGATGAAGTGAATTCAAGAAATCAAAATATAGCCTTTGTCCAATATTTTGAACTTTGAGACTTCAAACTTGTGATAATAGTGTTCAGGAATGTGAATCCTGAACAATATGGYAATAATTGTGGATTCATTGCTCCCTCATTTGTGTTACCTGAATGTGTGGGAATTTTCCGAGCGGAAATGCTCAAGGAGCGCTCAGCCCTGCCTCAAAGAATCTCGAGCACTGCCGCCCTTTTGCCACCCCTGACATGAGAATGACCAAAACTAGGTGTGAGGTGCAGGTGCTGCTTGTGGGCAGTGAAAGAAGAGAACTAAACTTTGCTCTTTCTCCTATTCTCTCTAAGCTTACGCTCTGTTCCTGCTGTTACATTTTTACAGCACAAAAGAAAATATTTAAGGTCGTAGTAGTTGAATTTGCAGCATAGTTCATACAGTAGTTTTCTATGAGCAGATTAATATTTTGTATTAATTCTTACCAACTGACTAACCACTGCTGTGTAAAAACAGCTTTTCTGGGTGTGAGTTTTTAAAAAGTGATTTCATAGGGATTAATCATGCAATCTGTGCTTGGACAAAATTCGCTCTAAAGTCAGTGGCGCTTGTGCCTGCTTGCTGACTATGGGAACATGCCCAAGAAGAGCATTCTATGCTGAGAAAGCATTTGTCTTTATATTGTGCTATTAGTCCAAATACAACGTCTGGCACTGCATTTCATGACGTGCTGCTCCACTAGTTCTGTCTAAAAACAAGCTCTTTTATGTGTAAAATATTTTTATTCTTTCAAATCAGTGTAACAAACAACACTGGGAAAAATCCTTTTCTCTGAAAACTTCTTAAATTACAAATGCTGTAAATTTACAAATTCTGACATATGCCCTTTAAAACTTGTGCATCTACCGTTTTTATTTTCATTATGCATTGCAAGTTATATGTGTAATGTTTAAAAATGTTCTATCCAGCAAAATATGGCTTTTAACCAAATAAAAATGTAAAGCCAACTTGCCTTAAAATCCATCTGGTTTTCATTTTCTTATAATCTATAATCAGGAAATCCATTCATACATGACATATAATTTTTGCGCTTTCAAGTGGATAGTGGAATGCAATGTTCTGCATAGAGTCACATCTAAATTGATAATTGTCCAGGCAGAGTGTAATTTTAAAGTATAGGATGAAGAAAGGTTTAATCTGTATATTAGAAGTCTTATACTTTTTTCTTTTTTATTTTTTTTTGCCTCTGAATGTGAATGGGACCATTCTCTTTGCTGGATTTATCTGAAGGTGGGACAGCTGCCTCAGAGCAGCCACAGCTTTCTGAGGAAGGAGGATACAGTTTAAAGAGCTGGTTTAAATGCAGACTCTTCTTAGCTSTAAACCGCATGCATGCATTCATCCCTGATTTTCAAATGAGGGGTTTCTATATCATCGGTTTAAGGTCCACAGTCTTGCATTCCTGAATCTACATTATACCAAAAGGATAACAATTTGGTGGCTGGAAGGAGGAATGGTTATTATATGGCTCCAAAACACTAGCTGGCATAATATGCCATGAACAGCAGAAACCTACCGGTGAAAGGAAGATTGTAGTAGTTGTTAAAAATGATTTGATGTTCTAAAAATATAAATGGTGGAAAGGTTATCACTCTTCAAAATGTTTTACATCAGAGCGTAAATAATACTGAGGGTCTGACTAATGTTTCTGAGTGCTCTAACTGGGTAAGGATGTGTTATTATTTCTCTAAGCTCTTAGTGGAAAATTATATTAAATAAATCTCCTATGGAAAACAAGAGAGCTTTCTTGTAAAGATTTCTTTTCTCCAAAAATCACGACCTTGAAAACACAGATAAAGACTGCAAAGCCATGGTGTCTTTAAATATCTTGGATCATATATTGCAAAATTGTAAAAAATACATTGTTTCTTCAAACAGGTTCGTTTTCACACTCTTAACAAATACTTGTCATGCAGCAGATTTCACAAGGCAGTTTTACTTCCTGTCATACAACTCCTGTACGAAGCCCGCACCAGAGAAACTTCTTTTGCTTCAGTTTCTTCTGTTTATCATTTCACCGCGTCGTAACTGTTCTTTGAGTATTTAGTGCTTTTGGGGCACGGTTTGTCAAGGCACTGATGCTCAGCTTTTAAAAGGCACTGTAGCTTCTAGAAAGAATATATATATATATATTTAAAATGTCCCTGTACTGCTGATAACACATAGAATTAATTAGAGCTTAAAATAATAGCAAATCCACGTGGAAGGCAATTGTTGATTTAAAAAGCAGCCTACTGACATGAAATGGAAACTTCTTGCCTAGTGCTGAGTTATTTCAGCTTCTAAGTGTAAAATACACTTTTTTTTAATTAACACATTTTATCTCACTGACTGTAAGATAATAATTAGATTAACTGTAAAGAATATTTTTGTTTAATATCTGAGCAAGCTGAGTGTTTTTAAGTTTTCATCTTAATTCTTTTTGCAAACAGTCAAAAGATCATTATAATTAAAAGCATAGGAAGAAAAAAGCCAGATGAGACTAGTGGCTAATAGCAAGTRCACAGAGATGATGGGAGTCAAGCACATAGTGATGCCCTGTGTCCCAACTGTAGTTTTCCTAGGTTTGGGTTTTCCAGAGCCTAAGCTATTGTTTTTGTATGTAACAGCCATTGGCCAATTCTCCACGAATTTACTGATTGAATAAATACAATTAGGCCATGTGCTTGCAAGTTAAAATTCAGATTTAATGTTGTGCTTGGGCATACTTCGTTATCCAAGACAGAAAACAGACTTCATCAAATTTGGTTCCAAAATACATTTATGYGCATTAGGTCTGTAGCCCCATTTCACATGTTTTTAAAACCATGCAATACCGAGTGCTCCACTGACTACGGGGGACAGCAAAAGGAATCCTGCAGTTCCAGGGCCTGTAATTCCGAGGTCTGCTCCATGCTGCTAGCTCTTCTCCCCACACTGCTTTTAGGTTGTGAACCAAACTTCCAAAGAACCAAGGGGAACAGAATGTTTCTCCTGAGATTTTTTTCCTTGGTACTTATATGTGAAATTTTTCTCTTTCTGTATTGGTGTTTATACTCTTTCCTCACTATAAGCAGGCAGTTTCTGTGTCAGTTCTCACCCTGTAGAAACAGAATTTGAAGCAAGCAGTAAAAAAATCACGTCTTTTCCCAGACTTGTGTGGGTAGGAGATGAAATTAGGTGGATGAAAAAAAGGAGGTCTCAGTGGGATGGTAGGTCACTGTCAGTATTGATAGGCAATTGTCAGGATTGCTTAGAGACTGTAGGAAACCTGCTTCTGAAAAAAAAAAAAAAAAACACATAAAGCATCTGCCTGAGTGAACAGGGGCTTGTGAAAGCAGCAAAGGAAGGAGGATGAAAGGTATGGAGGCAATTTCCAAAAAAGGCCAGGCTCTTGCCCCCCTTGACTTTACTGTTGACAGAGTCAAGTCGAAAAAGTGTGGAGAAAGAGAGCCAAAAACATTTAAGAATCTTCCTATTCCTCCCCCTGCGTTTTCTGGAAATTACAGCCTTGCTGTACTCATCCTTTGTTTAAAAACAAAACAAAATTATGAACTGGAAAGGGCTGAGTCAGGCAACTCAATCCTCTGTTGTTGTCAARAAAACACAGCACAGCTTTGACTTATTTTTAAAGACATACGATYGTCTGACTTTCTTACTTTTCTTGTAAGGCAAAAGTTAGAGCTCGCCCGCTCTGAATGCCACAACGTTATGTTACAGTATTTACCATAGTGCTCTAAATGGAGTTAAGCTTCTGCACATCCSTGAAATGTCGGCTGCCACGGAGGGGAGAATTTTAAGACCCATTGTTCCAAATACAGCACGCGTTTTATTCTCCTATATTAGAGACATCRTGTGACACAAGTCTTTGATTTGTTTGTATTTGAAGTTTTTAATGTTTGCACTTACGACCCTTCTCTCTCTCTCCTTTTCCTCTCTTGCTTTGCGTTTGACACAGGGAACGGGTATGGCAACCCTCGCAACTCACCAGGTCTGCTGGTCTCACCTGGCAACTTGAACAAGAATATGCAAGCGAAATCCCCGCCCCCGATGAATTTGGGAATGAACAACCGCAAACCGGATCTCCGCGTGCTTATCCCACCTGGCAGCAAGAATACAATGCCATCAGTGGTAATGCACTTGCAAAGTTTTTTTATTTCTTTACCTGTCGTTCAGATCACAGATATTAAAGATTTTCAGGGCCTGCTAAGCCCGCTATAAAATTTGCAGGAAAGAATTCCATGTTCTTGTTTGCTTGGTCTCTCTATATAGCCTTTAGGCCTGATATCCTGCTGAGGAGGTAGGCAGAGCCTGTTCGGTTGCTTTTATGAACTCCTTTTTATTTCCTCCTTTTTTTTTCTATTGAGATACAAAATGAGAACTGTGTTTTACACAGTCCAAGCTTCTGAACCCTTTTTCCTAGTAGCTGGAAGATCCTTTCCTGTGCTTGTTATAAAGACTTTTTACCCTGGGCATTCCTAATATGCTTTATTTTTCCTGAATATTTAGCCAGAGATGCTCAGCCAATGGCTGAGTAACTACAATTAAGTGAATTTGAATTATGTTCCTCTGAACTCCAAAGGCAAAATTTTATAATGATGGCAATAAAGAGGCAATAAATAGGTAGAGCAGGATAAACTGGAGTATCAGACAGCTGTATCACCTGCCAGGATTAACAACATTTAAGCAGAGTATTATGATAGAAGGTGGAATCATTAGGGTGTCATGTGAAGTACCTTTCAGTTCCCTACTGAAAGTGGGTTAGTGGTTGCAAGTAAATCTTTCATGAGTGATTTAGCATTAAAAGTGGTCTTGATTAAAAAAAGGATCTTGATGGTGAATTTCAGTGACACTATAAACACATTTTTCCATTATGTAACAGACAAGCTATTAAAACAACTTCCAAGTTGGCTACTTTAGCTTGATGCATTATAAATTAGCTGTGAATATTAAGCTAAACCCCCATRAAAATGATGCTGTCTTCTGAGAGGATGAGTAATAAATAGTCTCCTACAGGGCTATACTCAAAGTCAACCAAGGCAGTGACAGACTGTCTCCATCAAATGATTTATTCCAAGGTCCTTAAAACTGATACTTTCCAAGGGATTTTGAGAATGGTCAGATCTTTTAAAACCAGGTATAGCAACATAATCTGCAGGCACTAGGGCTGTGGGAGAAATACTGAATTCTAAGCCAATGACCCATGCTGAGAACAGGATGGATTGTCTTCACAGTTGAGACATGTATCTCCTCAGAAGGACAAAGCTCCCATGTAGGAACTGCCCTTTTGCTGAGCTAGGCTCAGAAAGTATTTAATTTGCCCCTGCGACCGAGTGAAGCTCTTCATTACGCTGTGCTGTGTCTGCGTCCTCGTACATGCTTSCGCTCACTAATGTTTAATACTCCTTTCCTATGCTCTCAGTCTGAGGATGTTGATCTGCTTTTGGTAAGTGGTAGTGATGCTTGTCTTATTCATGGAAAAAAAAAACCTTCTGTCTCTGTAGTTGAAGTTGTGGTAAAATAAAAAGGGAAAACTTTACTATTGCTATGCTATGAACAAGAATGCCAGTCRCTACTCATAAAATCTAGCAGTATAGAGGACTTGTACTTGTTGCACCCACTGAGATAATGCATGTTCAAAGAGCTTTCCCCTTGGTGCTTTCCTAGCATGTAATCTTATGCTCTTGAAGAGGACACTGCCTTACTGTGACTTTTTGGTGGCTTCCCAAACGCTTTAGCCTGAAACTCACAGAATTACGAGTTTTCTAGCAGTTTTTACAGCACAACCTCTAGTGCGCTAAGATAAACGCTTCCGTGCCCCGCAACCTCTCGCTCCTTGAAGTTGCTTCTGTGGGTAGAGAAACTGGAGTAGTCGGAGCACCATCTGCTGGCCAGAGCCCGGCGCTGCTCCCCACCGCGGGAGGCAGAAAATCCAGGAGTGGGGCTTGCACTTGGGGGTGGGGTTTTTGTTTGTTTTGTTGCTGCAGTTGTTTTTTTGCATTTGAATGGAAAGCAAAACCATGGGAGTAGAGTTTACATATCCCATCAGTTTGTCACCCGGTCTGTTTTTCTGCCCACAATAAAAGCAATCCCGCTTGTTACTAGCTCAGTTACCTAGGAGATACTGATGTAATGGGTTACTATGGTGACAACCGGTCTCTTGAAGGATTGTAAATGATAGGGTTGGCAGAGTTCATAAAAGCCACATGCTAAATGATTAATTTCTAGAAATCTGTATCAGCTTGTGTTCCTTATGCGCAAAACATACCCGGAAAGCTACTACACCGAAACCTGGTCGATAATATGTTTATTTTACTTATTTTAAAAGAATCAGAGGATAAATAACTCCCAGTCTGCTCAGTCCCTGGCTACTCCTGTGGTTTCCGTAGCAACTCCTACTCTCCCAGGGCAAGGGATGGGAGGATACCCATCAGCCATTTCTACAACATATGGTACTGGTGAGTATGGGGCAAGAGGCAAAGCAGAGCGGGGAGGGAGCAACTGCGGGCAAACGTCTGTGTCGGTCGCAGCGAAGTAGCTGATGTTAGTTGGGCTACACCGAAGGCCTCTGCGCCGACGCGCTGCCACGCTTCCCTTAGCTGTTCCCAATCTGTCACTAGCTGGAGACGGAGCTAGTTGAGAAACGGTGGGTTTGTTCAAATGGAAAACTGCCTTGGTAGCTTTCCTCCAGTGGCTCTTATAAGAAATATGACTCAAACTACTGGACCCTCTTAGTACAAGGGGTAATTTCATGTAGCTCTTGAACTAGATGAACACATCTTGATTACGTCCTTCTAAAGCCGTAAGGGCAGTGGGAGCAAGCAGTTTCACTGGTCTAAAAATGGAGTTCAGGAAGTTTGRGACCTGTCACACAAGAGGATTAGAGGTGAAGGCCCCAGAGATCCTTTCCAGTTCCCGTTGCACATTGGCACCATCCGATATACAGACCAGATGCTTGTAGAAAAGCAGCGCGCATTGTTCAGATGCGSGATTCTGCACAGAAAACCCTAACTGAAAGACCATGGTGTTTTTCAAGTCCTAGGCTCTATATGTTAGCTGTGATGCATGTATAGTGTAAGAATGCTTTGGACTTTGCGGATCAAAAAAAGCTCTGGTAAATTACAGAGTAATTATTAGTACATTATTTGCTTCCAAATTAATGCGATGACTGAAGAAGAGAGTCTACTTTTCGAGCTCAACTTAATATGATGGGTGTAATTAAAATTAAAAGGCTTATTAAGTGACATGTGAAAATTATGATGCTAGTTATTGTTTAATTGCTTCCTCCTTAATTCTCTTTTAATTGTTGTCTTTTCTGTTTTYGAATCTAGAATACTCTCTGAGTAGTGCAGATATATCATCTCTCTCTGGGTTTAATACAGCCAGTGCTCTTCATCTTGGTTCTGTGACTGGCTGGCAACAGCAACACCTACATAACATGCCACCATCTGCCCTCAGTCAATTGGGGTAAGCAGTGCTTTCTTTAAAATATCATATTGGTCTACAGTGACTTCAACATCTCCAAGTTGTCTTAAATATGCATAACATATCATAGTAACATATCAGCACATATTTACTGCATGAAACAGCTCAGTTTCAAAAATTCAAAAYTACTTATTTCATGAAAAGCCTGTCAGGTAGCTAAAATGAAATATTCCGTTTCCCTGGCATTTTCTGAATAGAATAGTGAAGATTATTGCTCATGTTTCACGGTTTGTTTCTTTAAATAGCACTTTATGTAATCACTAAAGCCCAAACCAAGTAACCTGAATTGTGCTGCTGTTTTATTTTGCCTGTTATACTTTTTATTTCCAGTTACTATAGTGTAAAGTTTAACAACAAAAAAAGAACTTGAGAATTTTCTAAATACTTTTAGTTAGAGTGACATAATGATTTGATCTGAGATTAAGCCTTATCCTTACATAATAATCACATACTCCCATCTGCTTATCTGTGACACGCAAATTTCCTTTCTTTGGACTTGTCTTAAGCGAGCAAATAACCCATAGGCCTAACAGCCCCGCAGCCCTAGAAGACTCCCCGTCTTTAGCCTGTGCTGAGGAGGATGGCTGTTTGCACCCTCTAGTGGCTAACGTCGAGATTGGTTTTCAAAAGTGGTAATACCTACCCTGTTATATTATTTCAGTATTTTTAAAAGTGTGAAAATTCACACAGGGAAATCACATAAAGCAATATCGGCAAAGCAACTTATTGGCTAATTCAAGTGAACTTTAACAGTATAATTTTCAAAAAGCCTGGCATCTCCCCTTTTACTGAGTAACATCCTAAGTATTCACTAACTATTCTACTCTTAGGTAGAGGTTACTCTGAGGTTTAGTCTAACATATTTAAATTAAGAAAGTTTTCATTGTAAAAGTGTAAACTGAAAGTGTATATTCATATGTAGAATTTTAATTCAAAAACATTTGGAAATTAAACTTCTGGGTTTTTTTCTTTTAGAAAGAGGTGTTTTGCATATGTGCATTGCTTTTTACAGGACAGTTGCCATAATCTGAAAGCACTTAATACTATAAATGTGGCCCAGACTTCAAAATTCTCCTTCTAATTTATCTGACCACATTTTGTAAATTACTCTAATTTCCTTACCATGTACAGACGGCTTGGGTTTTTAAAACTATACATATGTTTTAGAGGAAACTGCACTTTTTGAACCCTGCTTATATATAGATAAGTCTACACAGATACTAGCTGCATAAAAACATGCAACTGCAATAGTTAATGCATTAGAAAAAATAGCTTTAATACTTTTCCATTATATTTTTTTAATTTTCTTTTTGCGGTTTGTACCCTTCCTGGCGCACCAGACTAACTATATAACTAAAGACATAAAGTCTCAAATAAATCGAAAATTCACATGGTAGACATCAATGTATAACTTTAYAATAWGCTGATTGTTTTCAGTGGTGTACCAAAATACCTAATAAGGCTATTTGGTTAASCCAAAAAAGTATAAATTATATCCTGAACTACTACATACCTTTTCAGATAAGTCACACATCATCATCATCATCTGTTTCTAATTCATATCATAAAAGGCTGAAGTTTAATGATGGTGGCTGGTTGAATACTTTCTGAGTGACTACTCTTCTTATTAATTCTCTCAGTGATTTGTAAATGAATTCAGCTATGAAAGCTGCTTCACTGACAGTTCTGGAGAAGTCTTCTGTGCATGCAGAAAATAACAAACATTTCTTGATTTGATTTTAGTTGTTGAGTTACGTATACAAAAGAACCTATTCTAAGTTCTGGCTTATTTAACATTTACGAAAGCACACAGACCATCTCCAGTCTGCATCAGTTGAGCTAGAATTTGCAGGGGAAAAAAAATGAGACCATAAAACTCTAGTTACCCCAGACATTTGATAAAGCAGACTCCCCAAATCCGTGCAGTGTGCGAGTAGTAGCTGAGTGAGGTCACCTTTCGGAAGGCAGTGGAAGCTGCRAGATGTTTGTCCATTGGCAGCAGGSTGTATACACCCCAAATGTAAGAGGTTTTTGCCTGAATATTGCTGCAATGTCTCCTATGGAGAGGAGAGGCTTTCTGCTTTAATTAAAGCTTTAAATTCTGCTTTAATTGATGCATCAATTAACCAGGAGGTGATTCCATTCCTAGCTTTMGAATTAATAGTTTATATACTTCAGGCACAAGTCCGTTTCATGCAAAACATTCTCTTTCATCCATACTTCTCAGTCTAAGAGAGGCTCTTTTCTGCCTTAAGTGTCACGCACAGGTGAAAGTTTGGCTTTCATCAAATATCAAGGCAAACTTAAAAACTCCCMTCAGAGTATTTCATCAGAAGTATCCTCAGTGTATATAACTTTATACACAAGGGAGATTTCTCCAAAATACTGCCCAAAGGAACAAAAGACTTGCCCAAATCCATGTGTACTATTGATTTGTTCTGTGATTCTTATCAAAAAGGCAGACTAATCAGCAATAATTAATTTTGATTAGCTAATAATCATAATTGGTTTGGGGCAAATATTTTCCACTGAGCCCTTTTTTAGTGAAGAATTTAGTCAGTGGCATAATATTTTGTGAATTTATATTAGTTTTGCCAACCTTCTCATTCTGAATAAGACCCTAAAATATTTCAGATTAAGCCAGTGTTTTTTCACACCACCATTGTAAATGAGATGTTCAGTTTCAAATTTTATTCTTTAAGGGTAAAATTAAAAGTATGAAAGCTAATCAAAATATTCYGGCACAGAAATTATTTGGCTTTTTTACATTCATCAGGAAATCTGGAAAAAAAAAGAAAAAAAACACTTTACTTTTATCTGAAAGAAAAACATAGAGGGGGATATTCTTGTGAATTATTCAAAATCAAAAATATCCACTGTTCTGCATAGACAAAACTAAATTTTATTGTAAATATCCATTTTTACTTCTGTGATTGTATATATATGTTGAAGAACAACAACAAAAAAATATTTGAAGTAATGAGGTAAGCTAAGTTGGAGAAACAACTGTGGGTGTGCAAAAATAGGTGAGACCCTCCCTCCCTTCAGTAGAAGTGCTTTTCCCTCTATAAAAATCCATTTGATGCATGTTTGCGTCATCACTGGCCACCTAGTCAGACCTGCCCTTCTATCTGTGCATGCTGAGCTTCAGACCCAGCTGGAGATTTGAATCCAAAGCAGATCTGATCTCAGGGGCTTCAAGAACTAAACCCACCTGCAGCTTACTGCATCCTGACTCGCATCGCACTTGTTAGACAGCAGAGCCAGGCAGATGCTAACGTTGAACTCAGATAGGAGCCAGCATTCCTCCCCTGTGGTTGCTCTAAACTAAATAATCATGAGATTTTCACTCATACTGATCTAAATATGAACTGCTGTGTAAAATTAAAACTTTACTATTCCTCATTGTCTCCATAAAATGTAATGTTTCTGTACCGTGTGTGAGAAAAAGTGATCACATTAATGTGAGCACATTGTGGCACTTATTAAGTGTTTATAATATACACAATCCTTTCAAGCCATTTGCTTTATTTTCTCCGTGGACTCACCATATTCAAAACCCATCTGGTTTTCAGTGTACTTRCAGTATATTTCAAATGACAAAATGCCCCTACAAAAATTACCTATTTATATGAAGCAACTGTGTAAAAATATACAGGAACAGTTGTATCCACGCTCAAACACACACACAGAGAATTAATTGAGTAGCAAAAAGATAACTTCATTTATGAATAATATAGAAAGCTTCCATTCTAAATAGAGATCAATCTTCTATTTAGAATACAAGACTAGAGACTGCAGCTAAGTAAGTACTCTTTTACCATTTGCACTGATGTGTAACAATAGGTTGATTAGCCTTATCATAATTAGCTTCATCAGCTTACATGAAATTTGGTGAATTGTTTAAGAAATTTTAACCAAATAATGTAAATTACAGTCACCAAACCTCATTTTGGAACTMATTTTTGAAATAATTCTAGCACAAATAGATTTTTTAAAAATCAGCTTAAGTGAAAATTTTGAATTACGATTCATATCAGTTGCTTTAATATTTATGCTGTTTTAAACTTCAAAAATATAGTCCTATCTGAAATTATTTTTTCTATTTAGAAAAAAATAGGTTCCAATTGCAGGCCAACCTGCAGTATTTCTTAAGACCGCAAATTCATATGCGAGTTATGTAATTAATGTCAGTAATGAATCTCAAAGAATCTAAAGCAAAATCTATAGAGATGCATTTTTATACTCACTTCTGAAACACATTTTAAAATGTATCATTGCAGTGTGCCAATACTGGCTGTGTTTCTTGGAAAATGCGCCTTGCCGCTCTAGATCTGTTCCTCTGGGGACTGTAACAGAATAGACTGCATGTAAAGTCAAGTATGTTCCACACGAACAAATTTGACTGAATCTGGTTGTTTTAACTCGCATGGGTTTGTAAATGTTGCTAGGTGGCATGTCACCTCCTCATAGGAAACTCTTCAAAACCAAATCCTCAGGTTCCACCACCCTGTGTTAGGGGCTTCCAGGTTTAGCTGTAAGCTCGGCATCTAAAATCATGCATCTTATCATAGATGCTAAACTGGCAGCCTTTTTTGCCCAGGTAGAGTCCTGGTATCTCCCAAGTAAATGAAAAAATAAAATCGCTGGAAATGAAAAGCAAAACAAAAGCCAGGAATGCATTTTTATTCTTGCTGGATTTGTTTCAACAAGTTTTCGACAAAAGAGCAGAACCCTTTGCTAGATTGGAATGACAGAGTTTGATATTACAGTTTCTTATGTGTTTTTACTTAATACTAAAAAAGCAAAAAAAAAAATCCTTTTTGCCAAAAATTTGCTTGTGTTATTTATGGTGAGGGCTGTTACTCTTTAATTCTGACCTGTGAAAGGGATCACTGCAAATTTTGACAAACTGTTCTGTATTCAAATGAAGGGTAGGTGAAAGCAATTGCAGGTATTGGTGTTTTCTCGTTGTCTGACAAGATCCATCCATTATTGCACATTGTAACAGTAATAAAAACAGTTGGTATCATATAATAGTGAAGCCATATATTATCATTTCAAGTATAAATTTGTCAAAAGGAAATGACACTTTGCCTTTTTCCAAAGTTGTTATAGTAGATTTTGCTTGAGTAGAAGAGTTCAACTCAGTCAATGAGATATCAAAAATAATGTAATATTTCAGTAAATGGAAATGAGCATGTCTGAACTTAACTATTTATTCCACAAGCTCAAACATACTTCCAAATCCCCAAATGTCTTCTGCTTGCTGTAAAAATGTCTGCAACCTCTTTGGTTTTAAAGTCCTCCATAGCAGAGTGTTTCTCCTACTAACTTCAATCTATCCCTGTGTAAAACCCTACTGTTAGAAACCTTGAAACCGTGTCTTTGGGATTAGACACAAACTTCAGCCTCATAGGTGGCTCCAGCACTAAAACATCTAAGAACAGAATGGGAATTCCACATTGAGAACTGTATTTTAATACTAAAAAGTCAAGTTTTGCCAGTAGGTGGTGCCTTTGTGCAAAATATTCTTCAGATGCAAGTGATCACATTCTCTCTCCTGGAGATGATGTGCACTCTCAATCCTCACTCTACCCTCTGCCTTCAGCTTTCTTCTGTAGCTGCCTGCCCACAAAAACTCACATAAAGAACATGAAAGCTTTTGGAAAGCTGCAGAGGGACAGTTTCTCTTTATGTTCAAAATATTTCCAGAGTTGGGCAAATCAGTGTATTCCTCTTACACTTTCCACGACTTATCAAATTCTTTTTGGCAGTTCATTCATTTAAAAAAAAAAAAAAAGAAGTTTTTGTTTAGGAATTCATCCATTTATACCACACAATCATATCTAAATCCTTACTCTTCTGTAGTATTGTATTAACATTGATCCGAGGACCTGTACATTCAACTCTACTCCGAAAGGTCTGAAATGTAGAGAGCTCCAATTCAATTGCATCTAGTTACGTGTCCAAATGCACAGTGAGGCAAGTGCTTTGGTGCGTTTGAACTAATGGGCTCAGTCCCAGCAGAAAGGCCAGGCCTCCCCTGTGCACACACACAGCTACACACAGTAGTTTTAAAGAAACCTGCAGGTGATTCCAGCAGTGCAAAGGCTCACCTTTCAAAATCAGTTATGAACCTTAGGAAAAGAAAAAAAAATGAAAAAGAGAATGAAAGAGACTTTGTCAACTTTCTTTCAATCGTGGGGCATACCAGAGGTGCCTGTTGAGATGCTTTTGTCTCTCCAATTTTTTCTCCATACCCGCAGCAAACAGTCCTCATACTCTCAGCATTCACTGGTGCTGCGTGAGCCTTTCCACTGCTGTTTTGTATGAGTGTTTGTGCATTTCTGGGGGCTCCATGCCTCCTCAGTCTGTAACTGGGTTTCCTTTCCTCCTACAGAGCTTGCACTAGCACTCATTTATCTCAGAGTACAAATCTCTCCCTGCCTTCTACTCAAAGCCTCAACATCAAGTCAGAACCTGTTTCTCCTCCTAGAGACCGTACCGCCACCCCCTCGAGATACCCACAGCACACGCGCCACGAGGCGGGCAGATCTCCCGTTGACAGTTTGAGCAGCTGTAGCAGTTCGTACGACGGAAGCGACCGAGAAGATCACCGCAACGAATTCCACTCCCCCATTGGACTCACCAGACCTTCGCCGGACGAAAGGGAAAGCCCCTCTGTCAAGCGCATGCGGCTCTCGGAAGGATGGGCGACATGATAACGTTATTACCTACTAGTTTTTTTTTTTTCTTGCAGTGTGTGTGTGCTATACCTTAATGGGGGAGGGGGGGTCGATATGCATTATATGTGCCGTGTGTGGAAAAAAAAAACAAAAAAAAAGTCAGGTACTCTGTTTTGTAAAAGTACTTTTAAATTGCCTCAGTGATACAGTATAAGGATAACCAGAAATGCTGAGATAAGCTTAGCACTTGAGTTGTACAACAGAACACTTGTACAAAATAGATTTTAAGGCTAACTTCTTTTCACTGTTGTGCTCCCTTGCAAAATGTATGTTACAATAGATAGTGTCATGTTGCAGGTTCAACGTTATTTACATGTAAATAGACAAAAGGAAAACATTTGCCAGAAGTGGCAGATCTTTACTGAGAGAGAAAGCAGCTGTTATGCAACATATAGAAAAATGTACAGATGTTTTGACAGACCCAGCCGTTGGGTGGCCGTGAATCAATGCTAGCAAGAGACTGGGTCACCTAACACACCTAAAATGCTCACAAACACGCAGGCATATCATTAGAGTATGGTGCTCACTTAAAAGGATCAAAGACGTTTAAAGAGGACCATACTTGTAAAAATGTTGAGTTTGAGGGCTAACATATTTAATTAAACAAAAAAAAATCTGGGTCTGCATCACTTATTAAATAAAAAAATATAAAAATATGTACATTACATTTTGCTTATTTTCATATTAAAAAGTAAGACAGAGTTTGCAAAGCATTTGTGGCTTTTGTAGTTTCCTTAAGCCAAAATGTGTTCTTTTTTCCTTGATAGCTTCGCTAATCTTTTAAACAGTCCTGAAGAAAACAAACAGAGAGGACTTTTTGTATAGAAAGCACTACCCTAAGCCATGAAGAACTCCATGCTTTGCTAACCAAGATAACTGTTTTCTCTTTGCAGAAGTTTTGTTTTTGAAATGTGTATTTCTAATTATATAAAATATTAAGAATCTTTTAAAAAAAATCTGTGAAATTAACATGCTTGTGTATAGCTTTCTAATATATATAATAATTATGGTAATAGCAAAAGTTTTTGTTATCTTAATAGTGGGGGAATTATATTTGTGCAGTTGCACATTTAACTATTTTCTTTCAGTTTTCTTTTACTGGGCATACGTTTTACAGATCCAAGTCAGCTGTTGAAAGACTGATCTGTAAAAACTTAGAATTTACCCATGGTGTAACAACCTGAATCCTTTTAATACAACATTTTACAATGAGTTGGGTGAACTGCRATCCATTGTATATACTGATTAGTTCTTTCATGCTGTTTTGTGCATTGTAACAAGTTAAGGGCCCTTCTATTACTTGCGTCCTGCGTATCTTGTAGTTTTTCATGGGTTAAATGGCAAAGCAGCATCCATTGGCCCTTTCTCATTAATGAAGCTGGTATTCTGCCTGTTAGAAGGGGATGTRCAGCTCTTGCGGCTGTCAGGCGTGTGAGGGCAGGTGAATATTTCCAGAAGTGGAAGAAAGAGTGAAAAGTGAGGGATTGGCACCAACATACCTGCTATAAGGATGACTCCCTTCTCACAGATTTGAAAATTTTACAGAGATTATCGATTGAAGGACCATTCAGAAATAGATTTACTTTACGCAGCCAACACTGGCTGTCAGGTCACCCTTTTTTTCCCGGACCTTTGTGGTCACATTAGCTCACGGGAGAACGTTGTTGAACGGCGCTYCCCGTGTATTCCACCCCAGCAAGGTCTGCATCAGCATCTGGCATCCACCTTCTCTCCTGCCTCACACTGTTCCTTTGAATAAAATCACCTGAGCAGAAGGAATAGATCATTTGTTTTAAGTTCCTCTTTGTCCCTCTTGCTTATTAGAAGAAAATGGTATATTCAGTTTAATCTTTTTGTTGGAGGGAAACAATGTTTCAACAAAAGGTTAGTGCCATTGTAAACCTGATAATATTTCTCCCTTCCCAAGAGGCGTTCCAACTCTCCCTTACAAACATTGACACTCTGATGAAGGGTAGAGCTGCACGAGCTGAACAGCAACACCCTCAGAAGATGCTGTGACGGGAAAGCCACCCCTTCCTCCCCCCCGACACCTGCAGCCGCTGCGCAGTGCTCAGTGGCAGCGTCTACCTCTCCGTAGCAGCCGCCGACGAACAGCCCACAGTGCGTGTTACACGGCCCGGGCGCCGGCCCGGGCGCCCTCAGCCCTGCGCCGCTAGCGACAGTTCGGGCACTCCTTAAGCAGAATGGTGTGCTCCTCGGGCATGCCCCTTCTCTCACGCAGTGATCCGCAGGGGAAAGAGAAAGATACGCATGGGTTGGTTTTTTTAATTGAAAACGGGGCCTATAGTTGATTTTAAAACACAAAACTGTTTTTTCAAAGCCACTTTCTTCACCTTCAGATAAACGTATATTCTCCTTCTGAGAATTTTAAACTTTGGTGTGTCAAAAATATGCAACTATATCACAAATGTACCTTGACATTTCAACAAAAAAAAGTACAACTTTATCAGTATTGTAGTAGAAACTTGTCAGTGGGGCTGGGGGAGTCAGTCTATTGAAATACGAAGAATAGCCATATTAATAGTTTACCTTGCAATTTGCCTCAGCAACACACGAGAAAGGAAAATTAGCATTTTTGAGGGCGATGCGGTGTAATACATTATTGCAAGTAACTAAGCAGAAAGTAGTGCAAGAAGTATTGCCTGGGCAATTTATATTAATTCTGACAACGGTTTTTATACAAACGCAAACAGAATCACATGAAAATGGATGCCAGTCATCCCTCTTGTTCCTGCTACTGAGGGCAACTAACGTACAGTGGCAAGAGAGTGGGAGATAATGCATATTTGTAAACTGATCTAGTGAAAAGAAGCACAACTTTGATTGTGAAGTCACTTTCTGTAAACTATAAGTGTCTACCTTTCTCTGTTCCTTTATCTGTACCTTACCATGTATTGTCTTTGCAAAGCTAATTTGGGTTTATTGTGTGATTCCTTTGTATTTAAGGAGTTTGGGGCAGAGCCCTGAAAGAGTATTAACATTTACTTTACCTTAACCCATGCTATATAATGTTTTAGGCAACATTCTTAATTGCAAGTTGAAACACCAGAAGTGGCATTCGAGACATCTCCAAGCATTGTTACAGCTAAGTTAATCCTCTATTAAAAGATGCTGTCAGTTCGTGTCTAATTGCTGGTGACGATTACGTGATACACCCAATCTGCACAATCTGTATGTTGTATGCATTGAGCCATTCACAGGAAAGCTTTTTATCATTTCCATGTTTTTCAAAAGTTGTGTTTTATAATGAAATGGCTTATATTTTTCCCAAAAGAAGAATTTAGCAGTTTTTAATGAATTAATATAAGAATATCTGTTGTCCTCAGATCTTTTTCAGGTAAAGCTAACATAACAATTAAAGATCTCCTAGACTGTTTTCAGGATGTCAACCCTTTTGTATTGTATGTGTTATCCTATATACCCTCTTTTATCTATAGTCCTAACAAAGCTGTTTTGTTTTCCTTTTTCCTTCGCCTTGAAGGTAAATGCTTTGTAATTTTTTAAAAGCCACTTGAAACCTCAATAAAGGCTGTTGCCTAAACATGGCATACTTCATCTGTTCCTGTTTGTGCCATCTGCTGTGATGTCGTCAGTTATATGGCATTAATTTCCTGCCACTACAGGTCTCTTGAAGGACTGATGGAACATTGGTATCTGTTAGAATGCTTCAGACTGTAGATGTAATAAAAGGCTTTTGTTAATATATTTTAACCAAAGATGTGGAGCAATCCAAGCTTTGAGCCACAGACCTTCTGCATGAAAAGTATCCGTTTGATTATTTGCATAATCAGATGTGGCATTTTTACCTTCCCTGCTCATACCTCAGACTGATCCATACCTCAGTTTGATTCAAAGAGGTCAGTTTAGTAACTAGTTTAAAAAATAAAATTAAAAAAAATGCAGTACCAGAGTCTTTTGTGGAGTAACTAATAGCAGACCTGAGTTACCACAGGCATTACACTTGGATTGCTTCAGATGGTTTGTTGTATCCTGTTTTCTTTCTTCTTTTCCTTTTTTTTTTTCCTGGGAATTTGTTTCCATAAAACAATGGTAATTACAAAATAGCTTGTAAATGGGGGCATACAAGCATTTGCAACAAATATTAAAATAGAGGCTCACAGCGGCATAAGCTGGACTTTGTCGCCACTAGATGACAAGATGTTATAACTAAGTTAAACCACATCTGTGTATCTCAAGGGACTTAATTCAGCTGTCTGTAGTGAACAAAAAAGGGAAAATTTCAAGATTCTCCTGCTGGAAATAAGGTATAATTTGTATTTTGCAGACAAATCAGTAAAGTTACTGGCTTTCTTAGTGATACGGTGTCTGTGGTGCATTTTTTATTAATTAATGTTCCTTTTTTTTTTTCATGTTTTGCCTCTGTAATACATGAAAGAATCAGCACTTTAACACAGAGTGGTTGACTCAAGGTCTCTACCTTGTGCTTAAGGTGGGAAGCTAAGTACCTGCCTTTCATGGCACTCTGAGCGTCTCGGTGCCGCACGGATGTTAATGCCCTACCACACATCATCCCACAGAGCCAGAGAAATTCCATTACTCTCACTTTACAGGCACGACTGCGAGCAAAAGAGGTTAATGGCCAGATACCCTTACTTACTTGAAATTGAAATCCCGTCTCATTAACTGCAGTGAAGCCTGGGTGTTAATCACTGCATGCAGTTCCCTTTCCCGGGAAACGCGGCGATGCCGCTAGTGCCGCTCCGGGGGCAGCGCGGGGCATTTGGGGTGAGGCTGCCCGAATGCCGCCCTCAGCTCTGACCCGTGGAGCAGCCAGCGGAGACGCTGCCTGGATAACCCACTCCCTGGCTTGATCCCAACTCCCGCGTAGCCATATCCGCCACCTTCTCCTAGGACAGAGCGCCATGCACAAAAAAAA